CAAAACTGCAACAACATGTGTGAAAATCAACAGAGCTTTGTGCCTGAGCACTTCCAGAAGCTGTTGAAACACCTTCAGATCTAGCCTATGACAGATCAACATCATCATCTCACTGCTTTGGATGATGGAAGTGAGGCACAGAAGCCCTGACAAGCCCTCCTACAAGCAGCTATGTGGGAGAGTATTCCCAAGGGTTCTCCCATGATGTTTCAATAGCTGAAGACAGGCTTATAATGGAATTCCCTTCCTCTCACCCTCAAAACAAGGAGTTACTGTTTTTTTTCAGACCCGATGGGGGTTACATGGGAGCCAGTACCATGTGTTTAGGGTCCCTATACCTGCACTGCTCCTGTGCTAACCTCTCAAATGCAGAAACTTTGAACTCCTTACTCCCAAGAAATCTGGAACACAGAGAGCTACAGAGAAGCTAACTTAGTCTCTGTGTGTTCCACCTTTGTGCTGGAACAAATCCAGCTTGTGGTTGTGGGAAGACGAGACAGTGCTGGCTTTGGATGGTAGCGCTGGATTGCGTCCAAGGGGGTGCAGATAACGCTACTGAGTTATGTGATTCTTTCACACCCATCCCAGGTGCTAGGAAGACTGAAACGAAAGATCACTTCTGCAGAAAAAAAAGGAAAGAAAATTAGTTGTTGGGGAAGCAAGTGTGTTCACAGAAAGTCAAGGGAAACTTTTCAAATTAAGTGCCACATTCAGACAGTCCTATTTCAGATGTACTGAGAACCCACGGTTCCTGAGAGAGTCACTAGGGACTACTCACATAAATGGAAACTGACCTCTGAGTTCTGGTTCAGTGAAACTCATGTCTACATATTCAGGCTGTGAAATCCAGATATGAGATCATTCTGAAGCACAAAAACTTATTACAATCTTAATAAATTTGGCATTGATAAATTCTTCCATAGATATTCCACTACTGGAAATCTATACGCTCACCAAACCCTTTTGCAGTCAGGCAGTACCCTACAGCACAGTGACAGGTGACAGACCTACAAGTCTGGGCACACTATACATTGTTCATAAAAGTTTGGGGACCAGAGAAGTAGCAGGTGGGCAGCTCTAAACTACATTGCAACTCCTTTGGATATTTTGCAAACTCTACACTCAAAAATTTGAGTTAATCAGCTTTGAAATTGGCTCATGACAATGTCATCAAGCCAAACTTCCATTCCACTTTCAAAAACTGAAATCTGCACACACAAGACTGCAACCCCAGGTTCAGAGAACCAATGTATTCCTATTGTGTGGAGTTTGTTTCCCAGTTTCTGGATTGTATTTTGTTTTCCTTAATAACTTCTTCATGATTCCAGTGTCACCCAAATCAAATAAGACTTTGCCCAAATCCCGTGTCTACAGAAAATCTCGGTTTGTAGGGATGACGCTGATAATCTGCATTCATCCATTCCCTTCCTCTGCAGCCTGCTGGGTTCTCAGTTCTCTCCTCAGCCTCATTCTTTTCCCTGCCTTTCTTCCTTCTCCACAGCCACTTGCCTCTATGATCTCAAGGTACTCTTCCCTGATACTTTGCCAGTATATTCTATTTAAAGTACAGCAGGTTTACTCTGACTTGGAGGGCTACTCTGCTTGCCTGTGGACTTGGGCCGTGGCCAGATGCAGGTTTCCTGAGCTCAGCAGGGTTTTTTTTTGCTTAGGTGGAAGCACTTTGGGGCACTGCACCTAGAGATCGCCATGTACTAGACGCAAGGCAGTGACAGTAGATTTTGTGGCAGCAGCAAAGAAAGAGCAAGCTGAGCCCTCAAAAGCTTTCTTCAGTCTGTGAGGAAAAAAATGAAAGAAGTAACTGTACTGAGATGGTGTCAGGTGTAATACTTCTGCCCATGTCTTTAATTTTAAGTTTTAACAACTTAACCACCAGTTTAAAAAAACCCAAGCAACCATTATTGTTACTCCAGAAGCCAGCCGAGGCTGGAATGCATTGCGGTAGGTGCCAAACAAATGGTAAAACAGGCTCTCCGCCCCAAGGAGCTTACAGAGAGTGCCAGACCGCTGGTAAAAGCCAGGCAGGCAACAGAATCACGCGGAAAACATTGCTTTAATTTCTCTCCCTTTAAAAATAAAGCAGATAAAGCAAGTTCATCTGACAACCGGTTGTAAAGACAGCGGTCACGCTCAGGCAGTACTGCTGCGAGAGGGGAGTTCTGCTGAGCTGGCTGCAGAGCCCACGCACCGATGAGCCACCAAACGCGCTTACCAGATGTGCAGGCAGCTGAGCACGGCGAAGACGATCCCCACGACCAGGGCCAGCGGTATGGCAAGGACCAGGGTCAGGAGCTTGTAGATCACGTACTTGCTGAGCTCAAAGAGAGCGTGGCTGCAGATCCACACTTTGTCGAAGGAGTGGGTTAGCTCGGGCTCCGCGATCACATCCTCGAAGCCCAGCTGGAACAAGAAGCAGCTCCGCCGTTACGCCGAGCCGGGAGA